TTTTTTTTTTTTTTTTTTTTTTTTTTTAATATCTTAGGTATATTTGTAAAGATAATATAGTCAATACTAATGAAAAGTAATAATTATCAAAAGGTACTTGCATTGAATTTAATAATGTCGTATATCAGGTAACGAGGGACGACTTGTCCATTCACTTTGTCAATGATCATTTCCTTTAAAAGAAAAAAAAAAAGGAACAAATCTGTTAATGCTTATGTTAGCAATTCTTGAAAGATAAATGCCAAAATAGTTGTGTATTATGTCTCTATAGAATTATACAATATTGGATGACCCTGTTACACAGCAAATTTTATGCAAATATATATTTGGAAGTAGAGTTTATGTTATAAAAATACTATTTTTGTCAGAACTGATCCTTATAAAAGTTTTCAAGAAAAAAAGAAAAAGAAGAAACTATATTAAGGAGCTCTACCCTGAGTTGGAATTGGGTTTCAATATATCACAGATTTGAAAGTTACCCAATTTCTGTTATGCAGTATAGAAATAAAAAAATTACTTTGAATAGAAATTTTGAGCTTAAGGCAGTCTGACATCTGAAAATTTTGCCAATAATGAAAGTACAGTGGCTATGAATTAAAAAGTAACATCAAATCCTTTGCTTAGTTTACTCAGACCAGAGGCCTTAACACAGAAAAAACTGTTACAGAAATATTAACACAGACATCAAACAGCATGGAACCAAGACATTACTTCTTTATTACACAATTATGACTAACCAGTAAAGTTCCTTCAAAGGAAGTACTCTGGAGTGTTCACACCACAAGAAACAATCCACATCTTTAAATTTCCATACATGCTTCTCAAACCTTTTTATACAAATTTCTTTTGGTTGTCAGTCCAATTAACATTTGAAATTAATTAGATAATGGTCAAAATCAAACATACAGTTTTCATAAAGTAAGTAATATGCTGTTTTTCTTTTCTTATTCCCCGCTTCTTAGAAATGCTTTACTTGACTGTCTCTTCTAGTTATCCTTTCTTTGTAGAAGAGGGGCACGATGGTTTAGTATAGCAAAATGTTTCACTGTGCTTGCTTGCTTTTTTTAAAATTTATGTTCTGAAGCTACTGTATAATAACCAATTTGCCCTGACAAAGAAAATTTAAAATTTTTTTTCTAACATTTGTACAATACTTTGAAAGTAAAAATACTAATCTTCATTAAGATTGATCATTTTATTATTTTCTCTACAGTGAGGATCACAGTACCTAAGGCAGATAGACAAACATAGCAAGTTATGTGTTCCAATACCAGTAAAAGCAAAACTTTGCTACTACGGCAAATGGGAAACAGCATAGCTGATTTCTGATTTTTTTTGATTTCTGAAGAAATGTCTACATTAAACCCAAGCTGCTTCAATTACATCAGATCACTAACATTAAAATATATACTTTATAACTAGTTAAAACTTGTTCCGAAATATTTCTATAACTAGATAATAATTCCAATAGGTTGTGTGGATATGCACTACCCACAAAACCAAGAGAATTTTTCAATCATACATCTTAAGCAAATCAACTCTCCCATTCACCTCAAGAAAAGCAAGATCCTTTTTTTTCCCAGAAAATTTAAGAAGAGATAAAATATTTTAAAAACCCAGACAAATCTGTTAACTTACTAAAATATGGAAAATTTTGCAGATACTGGCACAACACTTTATTGGGATACTTCTTATTTAAACACTGTACCTTCCCGGTCTCCCTTTTTTGGTTCTCTTCATACTTTTTCCTTACATCTAGCTTTTTTATCCCCCCTCGTATTCTTTTCAGTGTCTTCATTCAAGTCAGGTTCTTTAACTTTTAATATTGGGAGTCCATTTTTTCTTTCTTTTTTTCATCTTGTTTTCCTCTCTCAAGATTTTTTTTCACTTTTCTTCAAAGTTCTTATTTTTCCCTGTGGTAGTCTCCCCTCATTCATATTTTCCCCTTCACTTTAACTTGTTTTCTTTTTACAAAACCTTCTTCCCCTTTTATGTCAAAACTTTCCCCCTCTTCTCCTGCCAAGTCCTCTTGACTGTTTTTCAGCTTTTCCCTCTCCTAACCCCTCCATACACGCTGCAGAACAAATCATTATCAACTCAGCGCAGCAGCTTATGATTCCATCTTAACAACCATCAAACAAAACCCTCTTAGTTCTCTGCTCTTTCAGAATTTCTCTTGTTACGTTTATCATTTCTGGCTGAAAACTGTCTTTCAAGCATGGAGGAACCAAAAACTTCTGCTTGAGCTCCGTGGAAACACTCTGAACAGGCTCTCACGCCAACCTAGAACCTAGGGATATGGATATATTTGGAGACATTTCAAAAGGCGAGCAGCTGTTAGAGTCTAATTGTCCTTGCGGACAAGCTATGAAGGATACAAATGTAACAAAACTGCTCCAACTGTCACAGTGCTTCATCCAGGGTTAAAAAGTTGGAGCAGTTTTACTTGCATTTGAATTGTTTACAGATTTTCACCAGTAACAATTAGCACATAACAGCAGCTGCCCTTTTGAAATATTAGCCTTTTGAAACACCTCCAAAAAGTACATGTGCCATACCCTAAGACTCATACAGATCATAAAATGCAGAGAAAGGGCTCAGGGAAAATACAGAGGAAATAAAACTGAAACCAAATAAAAAGCATTATTCCAAATAATTATCTTTATATTCCACATTTATTTCATCTTCTGCTGGTGTATTTCCTTCCTATACCTGTCCTGTGCTATTTGTGCCTTGACCCTATAAGCCAATGAAGAAGTACGTTTTCCACACTCAAAAAATACCACTATTTGGAAACATTGTGTAATGGTACTCTTCATTTGATCACATCTCTCATAGTAACACAACAATGCAAGTTCTAACTGCTGCCTTTTTTAAGGAGTATGTGTAGCGATTCGTGTTGTAAACCTGGGCTATACACAAGGTGAACGTTGCTACGAGATAGGTCCTTCTCATGAAATATGAGCACTTACTTGATATCATGTAACCTGCAGCGTTCTCTTCATTTTTCCAGTTTAACAGCTACTTAATATCCAATATAATATTTTGAGCATATCCCACAATAAAAAAAACACACGTGGATTCTAACAATTAACAAATGGAATACAAAACAGCTCTGGAAATTAGGTTAGAAATAAAAATACATCCATGTTTTAGAATTACGATACTGACATCTCTAACTCACAGCTGTTACTTTCTTGAACTTGCAATAGATGCTATCAAACTTTTCAAAGACACGTTTGTTTTCTTCCTCTTTTCAAAAGTAAGCCATGCTTATATTTCTTAGTTCTTGCATAATAATGATAATGTAGTGGTCTGAAGAATTTAACTAGGCAAACTTAAAATTCCAAACTCATTTGACCCAAAACAAGGGACATGGAAAAACAGTCATCTTAACATCAACAATGAAATAAAAACACAGGGTTTAATACTTACCTGCAGAAGGGCCATTACAAAAAAAGTTTATCTTCTTGCACATGTGCTCTCTTGAAAGAGTGATATTTATTACACCCTTCTACTATACATATAAGATAGCACTCTCATGGAGGCAAATTCTCTTATACACTATCCATATGGATCTTGACAAGGTGCTCAAGTAATGCAGTATAAAGTGACACAGTGTAGCCCTGTCATATTTGTACATAAAAAGTGAGGCATTGGAAGGCTGTCAAGGAAAAAGATGCAACTCCAATACTATTTCCTCAAGAAGGTGTGGTGTTCCAACTCAAGAGTGTGAGTGGTACTGTTGTGTGTGTGAGAAGACGAGATGGGGAAGAACTGGAATTCTTGACTGAATTCTTGTCACTGAATGGGTGTTACTCTCCTATAAAAAACGTGAGGAACAAAGGTCTACTTCTCTAAGACTTCACCCACATTAGCTGTCAAAACACATTAACTAAACTGAATAAACATCTACGGTTTAGAAGTCACATAATCAAAAAGTTTACGAGGCTTCAGCATGGTACACACTAATATATCTACATAAAATAAAGACCCAGGGGGTCAGCCATGAATTAGTTTCACAGAAACATTTTTTCTTTTATAAAAAAAACAACCTGAGAAGCCATTCAAGTGACACATTTCATTAACTACTCCACCTCCTCCTTAATTGTCTCTCCATCTCACGTTTCCCATGTACACTACCTCCTCTAACAGTCTGGTTAACAAAGCATCTGACTGGCTCTGCTCCATTCAAACCATTTACATGCTCCTGCTATGACACTACACGTGACCTCACCCTCTCATACGTGACCTCACCCTCCAGTTCTGGGCGCCGCACTTCAAGAGGGATGTGGACAACATGGAGAGGGTCCAGAGGAGGGCCACTCGCGTGATCAGGGGACTGCAGGGCAGGCCCTATGAGGAGAGACTACGGGACCTGAACCTGTTCAGCCT